ACAATTTAGTGCTTGTTTAGAAGTGATTTTTTGGAGAATGTGCATTTCAAAACGAGTGGAGAAAAGTGAATTTCGAAAAATCAATTCTGCACAAGCACTAAATAAAGAGGCCAATTATCAGATTACTACCCTTGCTTGTATGCTACTTCATAAATTGAAGAAAGCTGCTTCCATTAAGAGAAGCAAGGAAAGAGGAGGAGAAAGAAACAAGAGAGAGATGAAGTTCTTTACTACATTAAAAAAGCAGCATCAAGGTTTGTGGTGGAAGAGAATCCCAACCCCTCCACCAAACAAATCCATTGAGCTTTATTTTTTTGTGGAAACTAGTAAAACTTCCTGCTTCCAATCGAGGGTATATGCATCAAAACTATGTCAATTTATACACGGCCAAATGTGAATCCAACTGATAGTCACAAAAATTATTCCAAAGCAACATAATTCACATCAATTCTAATCTCAACTAAAATAAAGAAGCAATGCAGGTAGAAAGCACACTTCTACATCACTATACCACACAGTCCTCAAAATCTTTGCAATACTAGTCACCGCCAATGTAAGATCTCCAATATCTATTTTGGAATTACAAAAATTCCTATCACACCACTCTTGTACAATTCTGAGGGCTTCAGCTGCTTAATTTTTTTGTACTTGGGTCCGTAAAGTTGGGGGAGCACCAAATATAAGAAGACAGCAACCTCAACAACAAAGTAATGGATAAAAAAGTGACAACTTAGTTGGGCCACTATAATATTATCATTACTAGTAAACTCAACTATGTAGTGTTTGAGCCACATTATTTTTTTTATTCTCATTCTTCTACTCATTTTTAACCACACATTCTTCAATAAAATAATATTTTACATCGTATCAATAACTTTTTCTTCTTTTTCAACCCCATATTCCCCGTCACATCAACAATAAAAATGCATTCTTTTTCCAAAAATGTGCACCAAACGGGGGCTATGATTTACTAAACGTTCTTTCTCTTCCCAGAGAACCATCCTTCTTTCACCACTTGAATTTATTTCCAAAACTCTCAGTTCATTGTCAAAAACCTCTCCATTTTCCACAGTGGAGTGTAATTGACAACGAAACAAACATAGGATCACTCATATTTATGATCTGGATATACAGAGAAGATTAATATCCAAATTAATATCCTATCTGACACAAAATAAATATTGCAGGATAAAAGTGCAATTTGCCAAATACCATGGTCTCATCAGTGCCCTTCGCTTTCTCAGTATAACTCATCCCGAAAAATATCAACTTCCAAACTATTGGTCCCTTATCCAAAGAAAAACATAACCAGTCTTCTCATAATTATATTTGATGTCCCTAAATATTAGCTAAGATTCCAACTGCCCTTTGTCCCTCACTAACCATTGCAATACAGACACAAATTATCATCATTTATCGCTTCTTGATACTTTAATTGCCCTCATTTAGCATGTAAAATCTGCCACAGAATACGTTTTGCTTAGATGGTTGCCTTTTTAAAGAACCATAAAGCCCACAGGTCAGGTGTTGACAACTCGAATGCAAAGTTTTCAGCATCCATAATTTAGTAAATGATACAGACCAATAACAAAATCAATACCACATCCCCACAATAAAGTATCTGGTACTGCAGATTAAAATGTTTCAAGAAATTAAATATCCATTCAAGTAAAATGCTCAAGTTCGGATATCTTTATGAGCTATACTTTGAACGAAGTCTTCTACATATTCAAACAGGCATAAACCTCTTACCTAAGTGAAGATAACATCTTCAATCTTTACTTCCACATTGCCATTACTGCCAGCTGGAAGGCCAGTATGCATGAATTCCATAGCCCGTCTTCCAATTATCCAGGAAAACTACCTGCTTGACTGCCAAGAACGATACCAACAGCACAATAATCATAGTCACTCTCTGTACAGTCCTGTTTTTAACCCTAACCAGCACGTGAGTAACAAAAGCCAACAGAAGTCCTACGATTGTGTATAAGAACCCGACTGCAAAACCTTCAGCTCCTAACTGCATCCCAGATCCCTGGTAAAAGAAAACCAGCTTCGACGGATCATTCCTGTCGAGCAAGAACATGGGCATTTTTCTAATTATATTAAACATCGCTCCTGACACGCTAAAGAAGTACACAAAAATCGCCCCAGCCATCCAAATGTTCTTATCTTGCAAAACAGTGTTCCCAGCGATCAATTTCTTCAGGAAAAATGGTGTCCAAATCAAAATTGCAACTGTTATAAATGCGATCTGTTTCTTGGAAACAATGGGTGGGCGATGAACGGGCCCCATAGAAAGCCTACTCCTTGATTCGATAAACTCAGCCATCGATTCCGCCAATCTCGAGAAATCTGAGGCGTCCATTGGGATTGAATCTTTCTTCAGATCAGTAGCTGAAGGTGGAATTAGGCGAATGTGGGGGAGGGAGCTGACCCCGAAAAGGGCGAAAGACGATTGGGATTCTTGAAATTCGATGTCAAAAAAGAAGAGAAGTGCTTTTTGGTCTGGATTGTTTGTGTAGAAAGAGGAAGAGACGAGGGAGAATTCGGTTTTGAGGGTAGGAAGGGAGAGTTCAGCCTTGGAATGAAGCGATTGGGCGTCGAAGAAGAGGAGGAAGTGGAAGGGACGAGGGGTGGGGAGGGCGAGGATGCGGCGAAGGAGAGGATCGGTTAGGTGGATGACGCCGGTGGGAGATTGGAATTGGAGGGCGGAGAGTTCGGAGATGATGGAGTCTGACGAGAGGGATAAGGCAAGAGGTGTTAGGAGGTTGAAGATGAGGAGAAGGAGGGGGACGACGGAGGTGGCGGTGGCTAGGGTTGTGAAGATCGCCATTTGCGGTTGCGGAGTTACAGAGGGGTGGTGGATGGGGGGTATTTCTAGCAGCAATGGAAGAGTGAGAGGGAGACGGAAGACTTTAGTCTTGTAGTGTGTTGGTAGCTTAGCCAATGAGAGAGTGCCACTTCAGAATTGCGAAGGATTGGACCATTAAACTAGAATTACAATCGCGCTACACACCCAGGTTAATTGACATTGAAAGGTATTTTCCCGGCGTGGCAACCAATTTAAAAAAAAAAAAAAAAAAAAAACAAAAGATCAAATTTATCAAAATTGGAACCCCTCCCCAAATGTAGCGACCCCTTCCCCCAAATCCACACCTACCACCCACACAATCCATTCTACCCAAATCAAGCACAACAATTTCATCATCTCCGGCTGTACGTCATTCTAAGGTATCATCGTGTCCTCCGACAGCAATTTCATGTACTATTTCGCCATCAGGCGATTTTTGAAGGCCGCGATTGCTCGAAGTTTCCTATGCTCCACTCTGGCTGCTCTTCCTATCATAAACCAATGCCTGTATTGCCCGAAAATATCGATACCTTATCGTCGTGGTATCCAAACTTCTCGGGTAACTTCTTCATAATATGCCACAAGCACCATCTATGTCTTGTGTTTGGAAAAATGATATGAATTTCATTTTGCATTGCCCTATCTTGATCGGTAATTATTGCAAGCGGTGCTTTACCGTGCATACACTGAAGTCATGTTCTAAACAACCACACAAATGTATATGTGTCTTCGTTCGATACCAAACCACAACCAAGCAATGTTGATTGTCTGTGATGATTTTCACCAACAAAAGGGGCAAAAGGTATGTCATACTTGTTTGTAAGGTAAGTGGTATCAAATGTAACAACATTGCCAAACTCCTTATACGCTTGCCTACAGCGATTATCTGCCCAAAATACTTTCCTCAGCTGCGAATCATCATCCAAATCCCTGCTAAAGTAAAATCCTGAGCAATGTGCTTGCATTTTTTAAAAATATGATTGAATTGCTGCGGCTTCTCCTTCTCCAAGTCTTAATCTTCTCACTTTTTCAATATAATTTCGACAATCTTTTTCCACGCAACTCATGTTCTCATAACCACCTGCTTCTACGACTGCAGAATTGTAAACTTTTATGTAATGAAATTCCTGCCAAATCATTCACTTGTAGCTTGCGTTTCATATGTGCCCTTAACTATCTGTTGCATCGAAATAACTTGGACTTTGACGGGCTAGTTTCATGATTATGGTCGAGGTGGACCGTGTTAATTCTCCAGACTCCATAAATATCTGCAGATGCTGAGATTCTAGCTTTACGGCCCATCTGAATTGTTAGTTGTGGCTTCAAAGATTCGCTAATATTACCAACTCTTTGACTTTCACGGTTACAAGTCAGTGTCACATATCTCAATTCTCCATCGTCTCCCTTTTTGAGTTTCTTTTCTTAACGGGAAAACCAACAACGTACGCATATTTTTTGTACAAGTAAAACATATCCTTCAAATCCTTAAACTACATACCCACCTCAGGTACAGTCACATGTTGTTCCAATGAGGTTTTACTTTCTACTATGTTAACAGAGTCCATCCCGTTCTCATCATCCTCTTCCATCAAAACATCATCATACTTATTTGGCACTACATCCATAATTTCTTCGGCTGCAATAACATATTCAGTCACGTTCAATAATACAATTAATAACACTACGATATGTAGCTAAAAAATTATTCTGGAACACCTTCTTCAATTCAACATTGTGCATATACTTGTCAACAAAATGAGGACATAATGAAAATTTAGTATATGGTCAACTTAAAGGTCATTTAGTCTAACTCCAAAACAATGCATAATAAAAGAATTTATACTGAAGAAAAAAATGAGGGATTGATCATTTTTAGCAGTGAGTAAGATTTTCACTTTTTGCTTTTTTCAATCTTGATGTCCAGATACATTCCCATATTATAACTTAGGATTAATCTGAATGCCAAATTGAAACGTTAGATTTGGAACTTTTTGAAACCACTTACCCCCAAGTAAGCTCCTTTTAAGCATCCACTTCTCTTCTCCAAAATGAAAGCAATCTGGAAAAATTCCAGAAACTTTCAGTAAATTTGAGTAAAAGCTTTTTCCTGCAAGGAGAAATGCAATAGAATATAAATATCCTTCCAAACAAATATTAGAAACTATTTCGAGGAAAAATCGCTTACTACACCTTGGATTTTTTCTTCTCTTGGCCGGACCAATGACGCCAAAATGAGCAGGCCCCAAATTGGATTATAGTAATTTCACGTTCTGGAAAAATTTATGCTGTGTTGTTTTCCCAGTTTTCTTCCTGTCAGAGTTGTCATAAGAAAGCTTTTTACCCAAAATCAATATAACATTGTTTTCCCCGTTTTCAGCTGCTAGAGTTGTCGCAAGAATTTTTTTAACCCAAAATCAATATAAAATTTATGGATTTGTTGTATGTTCTTCCCCAAATTTCATTCCCCCCAATTTCTCACCCTCTCTCACGTAAATGGGCTGTGGGTAAGTATGTTTTGGGGTTGATATATTTCACACACTCTCTCATCAAGTTTAAATTATTTTTTCCCTCCAAGCACTAACCCACACAGGCGGGACAATTCAAAACCCTATCAACAGGGTGTCATTGAGCCTGTATTGGTAGAATAATCCCTAGAATTAATCTTGTGACCCAGGCTGAATGACATCTTGTTGACAGGGTTTCAAAAATTTCCACGTGTGTGGGTTAGTAATTGGAGGGAAAAGATCACACGTGAGAGAAAGAGAGAGAAATACACGTGAGAATTTGGCAGAGAGTACGATGCCTTTTGCCACTTACCAAAAACAGAAAAATGGGAGAAGAAATCCATAAAATTAATCTTGAAATTTAGTCTTTTGTTTGAATCCGATTTGGGCCAAGATTTTTTTGCGCGACATCTCTCCAATAGTTGAGAATTAGGAAAATAACGCAGGAGTGTTCCATAAAATTTTCCACAAATTAATCTTATTTGATTTGGGGTAAGATTATTTGGCAGCTACCGGTCTGGCGAAGAGGAGAAAAAACCCGTTAATTAGTAAGCTACTTTTTCTTTGCTGAGATTCTAATGTTTGTTTGTAAGGATATTTATATCCTTTTGCCTTTTTCCTTGCTGCCAGGTACTTTGACGAAAAATTTCCTCGAGGTCCTAGTGATATTTCTTTTCCTTTTTAAGTAATAGTTTCTGGTGCAGAGACAATTGGAAAGTTTCTATCCCCACGCGGCCGATTTCTTCACTAAAAGATAGATGAACGCTTATGTGCAGATCACTTAGGTAAGTGATTTTAAAAAGATCATACTCCAACGCTTCATTCAAGATTAATTCCCGGCTAACGTTAATCAAATGAATGGACATTTATTGGAAGCTAAGATATATGCTTGGTTTACAATTTTTTTCTTAATCAGAAACGTAACATGCCTCATATCCATTTCTAATCTAAACTGATGAAATAATATTGGCATTGGAGGCTGATTCAGCTTATGGAGACATTAGTAATATTCATTCCAAATGTAAAGCTTAAAACTCTTACACAATCTCACACCTTCTCTCTAAGAATCAACAAGTTTTCACAGTTGTTTATATCAAATCTATAAGAAAATAGATGAAATTAAATGTAGGACTAAAGGTGACTGGTTATTTTATTGCAGCCAAAGAAATTATGGGTAAAGTGTCAAACAAGCATGATGATGTTTTGGTGGAAGAGGATGACGAAAACGGGACGGACTCCGTTAACATAGTTGAAGGTAAAACCTCATTGGGAGACGGTGTGATTGTACCTGAGGTGGGTATGCAATTTAACGATTTGAATGACATGTTTGACCTGTACAAAAAATATGCGTACGCCGTTAGTTTTCCCGTTAAGAAAAGAAACTCAAAGAGAGGAGACGATGGAGAATTGCAATATGTTACACTGACATGTAGTCGTAAAGGTCGAAGATTTGGTAATACTAGCTAATCTTTGAAGCCACAACCAACTATTCAGATGGGCTGTAAAGCTAGAATCTCTGCATCTGCAGATATATATATATGGAGTCTATAGAATTAACACGGTTCACCTTGACCACAATCATGAAATTAGCCCGGCGAAGTCAAGGTTATTTCGATGCAACAGAGAGTTAAGTGCACATGTAAAACGCAAGCTACAAGTAAATGATTTGGCAGGAATTTGCATAAAATTTACAATTCTGCAATCGTAGAAGCATGTGGATATGAGAACATGCGTTTCATGGAAAAAGATTGTCGGAATTACATTGAAAAAGTGAGACGATTAAAACTTGGAGAAGGAGATGTCACAGCAATACAATCATATTTTTCAAAAATGCAAACACATTGCTCAGGATTTTACTTCAACATGGATTTGGATGATGATTCGTAGTTGAGAAATGTATTTTGGACAGATAATCGTTGAAGAAAAGCATATAAGGAGTTTGGCGATATTGTTACATTTGATACCAGCTACTTCACAAATAAGTATGACATGCCTTTTGCCCCATTTGTTGGCGTCAATCATCACAGACAATCAACACTGCTTGGTTGTAGTTTGGTATCGAACAAAAACACAGATACTTTTGTGTAGTTGTTCAGAATACAGATTCAATGTATGGACGGTAAAGTACCTCTTGGAATAATTACCGATCAAGACAGGGCTATGCAAAATGCAATTCATATTGTTTTTTCGAACACAAGGCATAGATGGTGTTTGTAGTACATTATGAAGAAGTTGCTTGAGAAGTTTGGATACTATGATGATAAGGCATCAATATTTCGGGCAATACACACATAGGTTTACGATTCCCAGATTACTCAAGAATTCAAAGAAGGTTGGGCTGCTTTCATTGATACATATGCCTTGCAAGATAACGATTGGTTGTACAGACTATATGAAAATAGAGGCCGTTGGGTTCCTTGTTTTATGAAGACTAGTTTCTGGGCAGGGATGTCAATGACACAAAGAAGCGAGAGTATG